CCTGTATTGGACAAATTCCAACTTCCTTGCCACAGAGAGTGGCATTAGACTGACTGAAGCTCCTAGATCACATAGACAATTGCTGAAAGTCGATTTCTTGATGGAACATGGTAGAGTGAAAGATCCAGGATCTTCCAACTTTTCTTGAATAATCCTCTCATCAGTGCGTTGAATTGGATTGGTATCATATGCATCACCTGAATCTTGATATATGTTGAGCCTTTCCAATATCAAGTTTCTCACATCTCTGTGAGGGTCCGAAATCAGTTTGAGGACTTCTATTAATGGCATCACTGCTTCCATCTCGTCAATCTGTTTCTCTGCAAGAGATTCATATTTGTCTTTCCAAGTTTTCCTGAACGTCCATGGGAGAGCAAGTGAAGGTGAAGGACTTGGCTTGAATCGCTTTACCATTCTCTCGATTATAGCAGCTTTCTCTTCCAAGGCAGACTGAATTTGATGGCGGGATTCAGCTGAATGGTTTAGTTCAATAACTGAGACTTCAATCCGTGTAGAAGCCTCCCCTTCTCGAACCTCACTGTCCTCAGTGATTGATTTAGGGGTATGTCGAGTAGGTTTCTTCATAGCATCATTAATGTCAAACTCCATCTTGAAATCTTTTCCAAGATTAAGATCAATCTTCCCCTTCTTGACATCTATGACTGCTCCGGCTGTAGCTAAGAAGGGCCTCCCTAAGATTAAAGGATGTACTGGATCTTCATCCATTTCGAGCACTAGGAAGTCTGTGGGGATTTCAACATTTCCAATCTTAATAGGTAAATCTTCTAATATCCCATGAGGTAGTCGAGCAGACCCATCAGCCAGGATCAAGGAGTTGTTGAAAGGTTTGTACTCGCTGAAACCTAGTCTCTTGGCCACAGAGAGAGGCATGAGACTTATAAAACCACCGAGATCACATAGGCAGGTACTGAAGGCCAAAGGACCTATAGAGCAAGGTAAGGTAAATGAACCAGGATCTCCCAATTTCTTGGGAGGTGGCATAAAGGTTGTATCCTTGGTCATTGCAGCATCTAGTTTTTCAAGATATTGAGATGCTGCAGTAGGTGATCGAGTAGATGGATCGAGTATAGGCGCCTTTGTTGTCCTGTCAGCTGAATCTTGAACTTCATTGTCCTCAGTGATTGAGGTGGTGGCATGTCGAGTTGGCAGCTCTCGATCATGGCAGATAGTGATAGCATGAGCAGTGGCATACTCCTTTGGATTCTGAATTGCTTTGCCTGGAAGTTGACCTATAGGTTTTGGAGCAGAAGTGGATGCAAATTGTCCTTCCAAGTATCGGACTTTGGAATTCAGTGCCTCCACTTTGACATTTAAGTCATTGTAGCTACAGTCCAGCTTATTGTGTAATTCAGATATCTTCTTAGCAATCTCCATGGAGCCAGATGCTTGTCCTTGGAGAAGCTGTTGTAGCATTTGCTTCATGTCAGAATCAGGGGCAGCATGACCTTGGTGTTGCTGAGGTGCAAACCCAGGTGGTGGTTGCTGCTGGTAGTTCCCCTGAAATTGTTGCTTGGGAGCAAAGCCTTGGTTGTAGGGAACAAAAGGTTTATTCTGACCCTGCTGTTGTTGTGGAGGATGCACTTGATCCTGTGGATTAGCAACGTTGGTGCTGCGGTAAGAAAGGTTGGGGTTGTTAGTCTTGAAGTTGTTATACCCTTTGTAGCCGCCTTGATTGTTGATGTAGCTGACCTCTTCTAACTGGTTCCCCTCCCCATCTTGGATTTGATACTGCTCGTCATCAAGTAGAAAGTGCACATTCTTCTGCTGGCCAAGGATAAGCCTATCCAGTTTCTCATTAAGAGCTTTCATCTCTTTACTATGCTTTGCATCTGAATCTCCAATACCCCTGTTAGAGCGATCAAAATCCTCGTTATAATTACCATCAGATTGAGCTAAGTTCTCAATTAATTCCCAGCCTTCTTCAACATCCTTATTCAAGAAATTCCCATTAGAAGCAGTGTCCAGCAACATTCTGATCTTGGGCAAAACTCCCCTGTAGAGTGTGCTTAGTAGAGAAGCCTTCTTGAAACCATGGTGTGGACACTGTATAGTGTAGCCTTTGAATCTCTCCCAGGCTTCACAAATGGATTCAGACTGCTTTTGGGTAAAACTGGAGATTTCATTCCTAAGCCGTGCAGTTCTTGAATTTGAGAAGAACTTTGTTAAGAAAGCCTTCTTGCAATCGTCCCAAGATGTGATGGAGCCAGCAGGTAACGTCTTTTCCCATTGGTGTGCTTTGTCTCCCAGTGAGAAGGGAAACAGGCGCAGCTTGAAACTGTCCTCACTAACACCGTTTATCTTGGTTAGGCTGCAGAGCCTATCGAAGTTATCCAAGTGGTCTAAGGGATCTTCCAGAGGTAGACCATGGAACTTGTTTCCTTGAATAATCGAGATGAGACCACTTTTAATCTCGAAGTTGTTGTTTTGGACAGCAGGGGGCACAATTCCTTGCCTCTGATGGTGGTTTCTTGGTGCATCTCCAGCACCAATGTTTGCAGGCAGATTGTTGACATCTTGTTCATCAGCCATTCTGAAAGGATGGTTGTGTTCAAGGTCGGTAGTGTCTCTCCTTTCCCTTAGTTCTCTGTCAATACGGTCAATGTTATCGTTGAAAAGGAGGTTCTGGTTGCCTTTTGATCGAGTTTGCATACAGCAGGGTTGTACCTGGATCAAGAAGATAACAAGAAAAACAAAAAGTTAGTAACTGAAGTGAAAATTGAAATAGAACTTGATCTAAGCAAGTCTGAAATCTCAAATGTAACAAACAAACACCCAGACGGCAACGGCGCCAAATTGATAGTGGAATTTTAACTAAGATCAATTATCCTTAAATCACTATCATGTCATTGTAGTATTTAAGGTGTCAATCCAAATGGGTGTGATGCTAGCAATCAAGACGCAATCAGATTTTACAGAGTCAAGCCAAGCAATAACAGGTTTTGATGTTGTTAACAATCCTAAGTGATCATGCAAAAACAGAAATTATAACAGAAATAGCTAATATACTCGACCAACACAGCCTGATGGCAAGCACTGGGTGTGGTCGAGTATCAGGTCGAGTAACAGCAGAAACTGCAATAAAACTACTCTACCACACAGTCCGTTTGCCAGACACTGGATGTGGTCGAGTAAGAGGTCGAGTACCAAATGGAAACTGCAATAAAACTACTCTACCACACAGTTCGTTTCCAAACCACTGTGTGTGGTCGAGTACTTCAAGTGAATTAAGCCAAAAACGAAAATTAAGAACCAAGTGACAAGATCAAGCAATCAAAAGCGATGTAAACAAAGAAATCAATTGGAAGAGAAATTCCCGAGGATGGGATGATCGAGTAGTGAAGTCTCCTTAATCTAACAGGTGGTTAACATGCTCAACAAACTATCCCTAGACAACAAGTTCAATAGCCAAATCAAAGTGCTACCGCAACAGAGATCCTCAAGCAAAGCTAGTCCCAGACTCAATCACCATTGACGAGAGCTAACCTAACAGGCATTACGAAACAACAAATCTAAGCCAAAACGCTCCCTGTAACCAATACCTTGGTACAGAGCCACGAATCTCTGGAATTAGTGGTTCAGACATTTCATCGAACACCTTTTGGGTGCGGAAATGTCTGGGCTCAGATTCCAGTTGATCAGAAAGCAATCAGCATTAAGAACAACTAATCCAGAAGGGATCTACCAATCAAACTCAACCACCTAACAGATCAAGGATTCTAAACTACTCTAACCCATCCTCAAGAACCCTAATCACTACTCAAAACTCATGAACATGAACATAAACCCAGAAATGCATAAAAACTTCATACTAGCAAGATCTCAACAAGATGAACAACTTTGTAGAAGAAATCAAAAGCAAATACTCAATAGATTAAGAGAAATCTGGATTACAAATATGAAGAAAGCACTAATTGTTCTGCAGAAAAAAAACTTAGACAGAGAAAAACTTCCTCTGAAAATTATGAGAAACAACCTCTTTATAGCAAATACTAGGAAACCCTAAATCATAAGACGACAAAGTATTAAGGCGGTTTACGGAGATACTCGACCCTTGTGATCGAGTAGAGAGGTTGAATAAAGTTGGCGCCTTTGCGATTTCTTGCTCTGGGCATGTCGTGATCGAGCATTTGGGTCGAGTATGTGCTCGAGTTCTGCTTCATCCTCTTGTCTTCCTTATGCTCAATGTCTGGTTGAGTTGGGATCTGAGAAGACTGTGAAGCTTGTGATCAAGTGGCTGCGGGGAGGTGGTGATCGAGTAGATTGGTTGGTGGCACGCTCTGGATTGCTTCTTCAACCCTGCGATCGAGTATGTGGGTAGACTGTCAGGATGGACTGCTCCTCTTCCTCTGTGATCGAGTAGAACTGTGAACTGGCAGGATGGACTGCCCTGTGATTGAGCAGAACTGTGAATTGGCAGGATGGACTGCCCTGTGGTCGAGCAGAACTGTGAACTGGCAGGATGGACTGCCCTGTGATCGAGCAGAACACTCCTGATGGTCTGCTGAGCTGACTGCTTCCCTCTCTGCTACTGGTGATCGAGCAGAATGGTCCAAATGTGACTTTCAGCTATGTTTTTCCTCTTTCTGAACACCAATAGCCCCGAAGCACCTGAAACAACTCAAATATGCAACATGCATGCAAAACTACCCTAATCATGCAAAGTGATGACAAATGATGAAGAATGGTATGAAACAATGACGAAATGATGATAAAGTGATGCTAAATGGATGCTCAAAACAAGTAAAATATAGACATATCAAATGTGTCCGTTTTGATTCCTTGATTTTAATGCTCAACGTTTAAATTTGAGTTGACTCTGGTCTTTATGGGCCTCGCCTTTCGGCCCAAATGTCCTTGGACCGACTTAACCATGACCTCGTCTCCGGACTCGTGTCGAGATGCAGTCACTTCGGACCCTCTTTATGTTGACAACCACTCCGACCGTTCCTTTGGCTCACGGATCCGACGGGCTTTATCCTTTATGGGTCTTCATCTTGTCTACGTGGCAATCTTTGGTTGGTCCTGGACTTCTGGTGCGGGATCCGACACCAACAGTATCCATCTCAATAGTCTTGGCTTAGTGTCCTTCTTTGCATAAATGTGTCTCAAGGCTGCATGATCTGTGTAGACTATGACTTTAGAACCCACCAAGTAGCTTCTGAACTTTTCAAACGCAAAAACAACTGCTAATAACTCCTTCTCTGTTGTGGCATACTTCACCTGAGCATCATCCATTGTTCTACTTGCGTAATAGATGACATGGAGCTTCTTGTCAATCTTTTGTCCCAAGACTGCTCCTATAGCGTAATCTGAAGCGTCACACATGATTTCGAATGGATAGTCCCAGTTTGGAGCTTGGACTATTGGAGCTGAAATCAGAGCTTCCTTGATGAGTTGAAAAGCTTTCAGGCATTCCTCATCAAAATCAAACTCTGTTTCCTTACACAGCAGCCTTGTCATTGGTCTTACCAGCTTGGAGAAATCCTTGATGAACCTTCTATAAAACCCAGCATGTCCCAGGAAACTTCTCACGTCCTTGACACTCTTTGGTTGTTGCAGTTGCACCATAACCTCAATCTTTGCTCTGTCAACCTCTATACCCTTCTCTGAGATCTTGTGCCCCAATACAATTCCTTCCTTGACCATGAAGTGACATTTTTCCCAGTTTAGTACCAAGTTTGTCTCCTCACACCTAGAAAGCACCCTGCACAGATTTGACAAACAAGAGGAGAAAGAAGAGCCATACACGGAAAAGTCATCCATGAACACCTCAACCATCTCCTCAATTAAATCCGAGAAGATAGAAGTCATGCACCGCTGCAATATAGCTGGTGCATTACAGAGACCAAAAGGCATTCTTTTATATGCAAAGGTTCCATATGGACATGTGAATGTATTTTTCTCTTGATCATTAGGGTGAATTGGTATTTGAAAGAAACCACTATAACCATCAAGAAAACAATAATATGGGTGATTAGCTAACCTCTCTAGCATTTGATCAATGAATGGAAGTGGAAAATGATCTTTCCTAGATGCAGAATTCAACTTCCTGTAGTCAATGCACATTCTATGTCCAGTTATAGTTCTAGTAGGTATGAGCTCATCATTATCATTTTTTACAACAGTCATACCTCCTTTCTTTGGAACACAATGAACTGGAGATACCCAAGTGCTATCGGAGATAGGGTAAATTACACCTGCTTCCAATAGTTTAAGTATCTCTTTCTTTACAACTTCTTTTAAGTTAGGATTCAACCTTCTTTGGGGTTCAATGCTTGAATAAGATTCATTTTCAAGATGAATGCGATGTGTGCATAAACTAGGTGAAATGCCCTTTATATCATCAAGTGAATAACCAATGGCTCTTCTATACTTTTTCAGTTCAGTTAACAGAAGATGCACTTGTTCATCAGTTAATGCATCATTCACAATGACAGGATATGTAGAGTTGTTACCTAGAAATGCATACCTGAGCCCTTTGGGAAGCGGCTTAAGTTCAACTTTTGGTGCCTTGAGTTCAGACCAGTCGTCTGATGTTGGAATGACCAGCTCCGCAGGGATGTCAACTGTTGTGGGCGAGTGTTCAGTCGAGTAGGTGCTCGAGTGAGCAGGTTGAGCCTGAGTTGAGTCCTCGTCATTCACTGCCATTACCCCTGTTGCTGACCCATTCAATTCCTCAAAGGATTCTGACTCTTCTATTGCTTTGTGTGAGTCCAACAGCTTCTGGTAACCCAAAGTCTCCAAGTGTAAAAACCCATCTTCACCATTCTTGGTTAATGCACTCTTAAGGTGATCTTCTTCTGCTAGTTCTTCCAGTAACTCATCAGCTAACTGATCCATTTCTTCAATCCAAAAGAGTTGCCCTTCTATAGTAGGCTTCCTCATTGCATCTTTAATGTCAAAGGTCATCTTAAGATCCTTACCAAGGTTCAGATCGATCTTCCCCTTCTTGACATCAATGATAGCTCCAGCAGTTGCCAAGAAAGGTCTTCCCAAAATTAAAGGATCCTTGGGTTCTTCATCCATCTCAAGCACTATACAAAGTCAGTTGGTATCTCCACAACTCCTATCCTGATTGTTAAGTCTTCAAGTAGCCCATGAGGTATCCTTACTGATCTGTCAGTAAGAATAAGGGAGATGTTGCAGGACTTGTATTGAGTGAATCCTAATCGCTTAGCAACAGAGAGTGGCATGAGACTGACAGATGCTCCTAAATCACATAGGCACTTGTTGAAAGCCAATGGACCTAAGGAGCATGGTAGAGTAAATGAACCAGGATCACCAAGCTTCTTTGCAATGATCTTCTTTTGTATAATAGCACTGCATTCATGACTCAATACTACCATTCCTTGCACTTCTTGAATTCTTTCTATGATCAGGTCTTTCAGAAACTTGTGGGAATCTAGAATAAGCGCGAGAGCATCAACAAGAGGTATTCTTAATTCAACTTCTTTGATGTTCTTGGCAAACATAGCTCTATACTTATCTGCCAATGCTTTCTTGTGTCATCCAAGGAATGGAAGTGGGGGTTTGGTAAGGAGGAGGGACAAAAACCTTCTCCTTGTTCTTAGCAGCAACTGGTTTAAGAGCAGTGGGTGATGTTACTGGAATTGGGTGGTCGAGTAACATGGTCGAGTGGAGGGTCGAGTACTTTCTTGTTGGCTTGTCAGCTTGATCTTCATTGAGAC